TGCTGCTGCTGCTGCTGCTGCTGCCGAGAGAGAGAATCCATTATGATACTAGCAAGAGTAGATAATAACACATTATTATTGTGTTATTACATACACATTTTATACACATTGTGTTATTATCTACTCTTGATACTAGATAAGCGAGTTTTATCTATGGTCGGAGCGCTGGCCACGATTAAAGACCTGCTGTCATGCTCGCGTGCGCAACTCCGAGCGTGTAATTAAGACTGCGCATATTAATACAGGGTGAAGCAGCAGCAGCAGCAGCAGCAGCAGCAGCAGTAACAGCAGCAGTAGCAGCAGTAACAGTACTCTCTCTCTCTCTCTCTCTCTCTCTCTCTCTTGCTCTCTCTCTCTCTCGCTCTCTCTTGCTTCCTCTCGAGCGTGCCCGCCTGCACCGATCAATTAAAAATTGTCTCAAAAATTCTCTCTCTCTCTATATATATATATATGTTTTTATATGTGTGATATTTTTCTATCCGCGCACACATTCTGCCCGTTTTTTATTTAATCACTGTATTTATTATATTGCTGCCTTATTGTGTTGCATTTCATGGGGTTATCAATTGCTTAGCAAATGAATTTGCGCTATAATAACAGTACATATATATACGTAAAGAGTTGTGTACATATAATGACATTTTATGAAAGCGTGCGTCACGCATCTCGGTGCGTTGCCGTTATCCGATGTCGCAGCGGTGCTGCCACCAGTGGCTGTTCGCCGAAACTTGCCCGCGCCAACTGAAGCAGAACCAGCGCGTGATCTAACACCTCATTCAACACTTTCTCCGCGCTATTGTCACAGCGCTCGCGATTCATGCAGCACTAGAAAGAGAAAGACGACCAAATTACTCGCAGGCACCAGCCTTTACAGGCCGGTTTGTTTTGATCAGGGGGGTCTAGCTTTGCGCTCGGGCTTGCGAACCAGTTTGCGCTCCGAGCATGCCTGTGCTACTACTGCTGCCGCTGCTTCGCTTGCTCGCTGCTGCTATCTAACTCACGAAACGCACCGTCTCAGAATTTTTATCGATAGATTCTTATAGAACACCACACGTATACGATGGAAACATGCGTGCTTCTGCCGCCGGAACTAAACCTTGTACTTCGGCCCAGTACGGGGGTCGTAGAGATGGAGGTTGGCGTATGGACCGCACAGGCTGTACGTAGCGGTACGAAATTCGCGCCCCAACAAGGAACCGTCCGACTCGAGAAACTCGAAGTGTACTCCTGCCTCGACGCCGATCACGTAAGTGCATCTATGCATCTGTCTGTCTATTTTTACTCTCTATCTATTCTGCATTTAACACTTTCTTTTCTCTCTTTCGCTCTCTCTCTCTCTCTCTCTCTCTCTCTCCTTTCTCTCTGTATCGATCTTTTGCTCTCCTTCTCCTTTCCCTCATAATCTGTTCCTGCCCATCTCTCTGTTTTTGTCTCATAACCTCCTCCTCCTCCTCCTCCTCCTCCTCCTCCTCCTCCTCCTCCTCCTCCTCTTCTTCCTCCTCCTGCTCTTCCTCCGGCATCCTCCTCTTCCTTCTCTCTCCCCCTCTCTCTTTCTCTGCGTAGTTTTCTTTCTTGTTACTGTCAGCATTAACATTGCATAAACATGTAGATCGTAGAATCTCTAATTTTCTCGAATCCCGACCCATGTCTGTGCGGATGTGTGCGTGCGTACATATCTGTTAATTGGCATGTGTGCGTGCGTACATATCTGTTGGCATGTGTGCGTGCGTACGTGTCTGTGTTCATGTGTGCGTGCGTACGTGTCTGTGCGGATGTGTGCGTGCGTACATATCTGTTGGCATGTGTGCGTGCGTACGTGTCTGTGGTCATGTGTGCGTGCGTGAGTGTCTGTTGGCATGTGTGCGTGCGTACGTGTCTGTGTTCATGTGCGTGCGTACGTGTTTGTTGGCATGTGTGCGTGCGTACGTGTCTGTGTTCATGTGTGCGTGCGTGCATGCCTGTGGTCATGTGTGCGGTCGTACGTGTCTGTGCGGATGTGTGCGTGCGTACGTATCTGTTGGCATGTGTGCGTGCGTACGTGTCTGTGTTCATGTGTGCGTGCGTACGTGTCTGTGTTCATGTGTGCGTGCGTACGTGTCTGTGTTCATGTGTGCGTGCGTACGTGTCTGTGGTCATGTGTGCGTGCGTACGTGTCTGTGCGGATGTGTGCGTGCGTACATATCTGTTGGCCTGTGTGCGTGCGTACATATCTGTTGGCATGTGTGCGTGCGTACGTGTCTGTGTTCATGTGTGGGTGCGTGCGTGTCTGTGGGCATGTGTGCATGCGTACGCGTCTGTGGAAATGTGTGCGTGCGTACGTGTCTGTGAGTATATGTGCGTTTTTATGTGTGTGGCGTTTGCGTAGCATTTCGCGCGCACGTGTTTGTTGTGTGTGTGTGTGTGGTGTGTGTGTGTGTGTGTGTGTGTGTGTGTGTGTGTGTGTGTGTGTGTGTGTGTGAGTGTGTGTGTGTGTGTGTGTGATGTGTGTGTGTGTGTGTGGTGTGTGTGTGTGCTGCTGTGTGCGTGCGTGCGTGCGTGTGTGCGCGCGCGTGTGAGCGAGTGCGTGCGTGTGTGTCTGTGGGAGTTAGGGAAAAGAAGGAGAAAGAGGCTCCTGTCGATCATTGGACTCACAATGGCTAATTTTGCTAGTATAATACGTTCTTCATCGGACAATGGGAATAAGTCGTAATTTACGCGAAAGTGAAAAAATGTGAAAAGTATCATACACGTGCATCAATCACAGCAATGGTCGTCGAACACCGTGGAACGCTGGTGCTGGCTTGCTCTGTTATATAAAGGCATTTCAACTTTTCCATCTATTCATCTATCCCGCAAATATTATATACACCGCACATTGAATCTACAACATCTATACATTTATTAAAATCCGTGATCCAATCTGTACGTCAGAAATCGTACGTAAATAGCTTTAGGTCACGTGAGCCGCCCCGGCTTTCCGGAAGACAGGCCGCATCGATGTACCGGATGTGCGTGCGTGCGCTATGGTTGCCGCAAAAACAGATGCGCATCCTACATACGCGCCGCACGCTTTGGGAGGCTGAGAGAAAAGCTTACCTGTTCGCACGTCGGCGGGCGGCTCTCCACAAAGCACTCCGGGACGCTCCTCGACAGACCGCGCCTCGGCGATCTGTACCGGTATTTCGCAGTCGAAGCATCATAAATTACGCAACGCTCAATGGTCCGGGCTGGCCTTTTATTCGGCGGTTTTATTGGCGACCACCCGATGCTCGCGGAAAAAGAGCGCGAGAAAATGTAGACGCGCGTTCGATGCAGGGAGCAACGAGTTAAACGGCTTGGGTAGCGTTTGTGCCTATAATTGGGCGAGGGGGTTATATAGGGAACTGTGAACCACAGGATACTGGGCAGGATCGAATCCATTCTGTACGGCGCGAACTATTAAGAACTGTATATACAGTATACAAATCAAGTGGAATATATCGAGAAAATGTTACAATCAAGAGTGATTTTGTCAATAGGAAAATGCTCACTGAAGTGGATCTACGCGGAAATGTATTATATGTGTGCGTCTTGAGCATAGAGCGCGTTGTGTGACGTGCGTAAGTCGTAACTATTTGCTGTGTGCGCTTTGTCACGTATTTTCCATGTGCTTTGCCATTTTCATGTATGTTGTTTGTTGCTATTTGGTGTTTGCTGTTCTTTATTTGCTGCGATGTAAGTTCATATTGGCCATAGGCTATATGTGTTATCAAATTATTAGGGATCATGTTTCATATTTGTGGATGTTTTTGTTATAACAGCCGTGGTTTCCTATTCCTTTGCTATACGCTATGCACTGTGCAGTGTGTATTAGGCCTGCTGCTATGTAGGTGATAAAGCAAAATCAAGTTTTGCCCGAACAAGCCCGATAAAGCCTGATAAAGGCGAGTTGGCCGCTCGCACGTACGCCTTTAGGGTGACTTTCGCCAAGGTTTCAAAAGTATTCAGCGTTTTCGGCGATATTGTGTATCGTGATGGACATGTTGCGACAACAGCGCCTTTTTCTCATAAGCCAACACTGGCAGGTCGCTTGTCGTACATTGTAAACAATCACTCCGCATTTATTCTGTCCTTTATAAAAGCGCGCGCAGATTGAGAATGGAGATAAGACTCGTGCGCAGATAAAAGAAGAGCTGTCTAGTGCGTGCGGCGGACGGCTGAATGTCGCAACCGGGTAGGTATCTACAGTGTATATGTTCGGTACCTACCGCAGTGTATACGTATGAAAAATGTCGCAAGTATTTTCGTGTGATTGATACCTGGTAGCCTACTGATATCCGCCTGGAGTAGAACAATATATATA